CCGCCTAGGAAGCGAGACTCCAGACGAACCCTTTTCTTCGATGAAAGCGCTTGGGAGCGGTCGCTCTGATGACAGATTCATTCCCGCGCCTATCCCAATCGTTCTGCGAGCGATTTTAGCGATGGAGACATTGCGGGAGTCGTATCGTTGGACTCGTTATGACCATCGCTCGTCGATTCGGAGATCGCTCCCTCGTCAAGCAAGAGAAGAGAATCATCCATTCACGATCTTCAGAGATAACAGAGCCACTCGAATACTCGGAATGAAAGAACACGTCGATGACTCTTGAAAGCCTCCAAAAATGTTTTTTTCTTCGCAACGATCCGCTTCTAATCGGACTGACCTTGACGTACAAAATGCTTCGGAAACATTTTCGCTGATTGCGTACGACTCGTCAATAATTCCTCACGGGACTCATGTCGGCATCGTCAGCGAGAACTAGCTTTGGTCGTCGTCAGCGGTGACATTCGAATTATTGAAAGCCGCATATAACGACGGCTTTCGCGCGCCCTTCCGTCCGCGCGTCGGCAAGCCCTCCCTCATGCCATAGGCTTGAACCGTAGACGACATTGGCATTCGCGTTAACACCCTGTGCAGATATCATTGCCACGGCTGATACAACGACCAGCGAAAATTACAGCTTCCATCATGGGGAGAAGGAGGATAATTTCTGTAAAACTTCCTCTGCAGACAGCCGTTCTTTCCGATATGAATGATCAATAATCGCGCCACCGTCATATGCCTTCCTACCGTGAGCCCTAAGTGCATAGGTACTTCGGATTTGATCATCGGACAAGTGATTCGATTGTGCATTGTCATGGAATTTTTTTTTCTGTTCACCAGACAACGCCGGCGACGTAACGAGAGGTCATCCCTCGTTGGATCCAAACGATGTTTGCTCACACTACCACATCGCGGTCCGCCAATTCGATCGCGTTGCCCTCCCGATGTTTTAAGTCACTGACTTAGAATTACTTCGCCGGCCCTCCCTGGTTTCTGAACTCGATCGGTCGGAATTTGCTCAGCATCAATGAATCATATTACGAAAAAGGCCGTTAGGTCGTTGCCTCTGAATATTCCGTCGTGCCCGGTCGTTCGATGTTCGTTCTCTTTACTTTAATCCGGATCCTTCGTGATTCAGTCCTCGTTTTTTCCTCGAAGTGTTTCGCCGCCTTGATGGCACCGAGTATTCCGGAATGCGAACTCGGACGACCTTGGTTATCGAATCGATGCCTTCCAAAACGGGCACAAATTTGCCACTGGAAACGGCAAAGCATGCGCTCGCTGGTCGTTTTGTCGAGAAAAATATTTACTATCGGGGCTGTTTGCCTTTCCCGGCAGGACCTGTTGATCCGAGAGAAAGTTCGCTGTTTACTCGCGGATTCCTTGTGTCTGGGTCGTTATTTTTCGAAGCAGTGTTCGCTACTGAGATAAGGGTTTTCTGTGGGTTGCCGCGCGAGCCTTCTGGATCGATCCTTGGAGCACGTATTGTGCGATCGGTGCTTCGCAGGTAGCTAATCATTCGTCGGAGACCTGAAAACAACGCCGAAGAAATAGAACGTAACGCTGGGATGTCACGGCGGAGCGGGCAAGAATGCACAATACGCGGATGCTTATCGCGATGTTTTTCCGACGATCGACGCGCGAACGACTTTGACCAACGAGTCGTCGTATAATAATGAATTGACATTCGGCCAAATCCTGACAATGGGCGGAAGCTGGAATCGATCTCGAAATATCGACCAAGGAGAACGGTACGATGCCAGCCACTCGTGATGCCTGGTGTACATCCTCCTCAGAGTGGGATTCTCGAATATTCGTTTGATCGATATCCTCGGAGAAATTCCCAGTCCCCTGGAATGATGGCATTCAAAAAACTTGAGTATCGAATGCTTCCCTCAATTCCCTGAACGACCTCCGTACTCCAGAGGCGTAGCGGGCTGGGGAATCACCTGCGGAACGGAGAAAAAATCACTCATAGTAGAAACCCGCCTCTCGGGTGATCGGGGTGAGACTCCCTAACTTACATAATAAGTTACATAGGCAGGGATCCGCGATTCATGCAATGCTTTTGTCGATCGACGATGGAGTTGGGTCGACTCATGAGAATCGTTATCCTATCGCATCGATCGGGTCCCTACATCGATCTTTTGTTTGCTCTCCCGTCTTCGGCGAACAATTCACTGATAGTTGGCCCTTGGAAGACTCAGACAAATCCAGAAAAAAATTTGCGCGGTGCCGACGTCTCGCAATCCCACGGCGATTGAATTATCCACGGTGACAAATGTCTTCCGTCACGAGCTCCGGTATTCCACGTCTCCACCCAGAATACAAATCCATGTTCGATGGCCGATCGTTCATCACTCCGAGCGTTGTCCTCTGTCTGTTTTACGACATACGGAGCCGCTGACCGCGTTTTATGCTTACAGCTGCCGTAAGCACAAGTTCTGATCCATCGCGAAGATTTATTGCATTGCGTAGGATCACGATTGTGATACTACATACATAGCTCATGGACTCCGAGCCGAGCAGAACTCTGGTTTTGAGATCGAGACAGGAGTTTCTGGATGGGTTGGTGCAGCCGATCGACGTGACAGCTCCGGTGAGTAAATGCGAAGACGGAGCACGAATCGTTTCGATTTGTTTCCGCACCTCTCGATGTGTCTCTTGAGGTTCTCGATTGCCTGATTGAACGTCGAGTCTCCGATATCCGCGACGGCGTCGTACGGAACTTCTCCGGGATCCCGTGTTGCTGTTCCGGCTGCTCAATAATAAGTCAGACTCGATCGATCACGGGCCCTAGAACGTTCCGAACTAGTAGGTCGGAGTCCGGCTGCGGGAAACCCTGAGCGATCATCTGAGGGGAGTCTTCCTGGGAAGAAGGTGCACGAGGGTATGCACCTGCGAGCGGGAACATATCGAAGGTGGAGGAGCCCTCCGAGTGACGGTCGCCCAGACAGATTGATAATGAATTCGGAGGAGGCCGACCGCTGACGTCGGCACGCTAGGGCGGCGTTTCGACTGTGCCGAGGGTAAGCGAATCGCCGGCGCTGCGGGGATCTCTTCGACGTGGATTTTCCACCATCTCCGAAATCACTCGCTCGTACCCGTGCTGCTAGGCGTTCGATCAGGTGGTAGCAGACAGAGCGTAGAATTCATGTTCCGTCGTGCAAGCGTGCTCTCAGGCCATTACTGAGAGCCGGCACGCTCACGTCGGCATCACGCCCACAGATTTAAGTTCAAATGTCTGAGGTCGAGTGGATCGTGAAAACTTGCTATCACTCCTCGGAACGGCTCTCCGCGCCGCCGCGCCGCTTGAACACTTCACGCGGATGTTTGGGATTGCAGCCACAATCATTCATCGCCGCCGCTGAGTTGAACGGAATATGCTAGCGAAAGGATATTTCTCCTGAGTAACAATTTTTGGGAGAGATCCCATTCCAGTCGATTGAGGGAAGGGGGAGGGATCTCGAGCAGGGCGCGCGGCTCGCTGCCCACCCTCGTGACCGATGGTGCATGTTACAACGCACGCCCAGAACAGAGAAAATGAAACTCGCATTCTTCATCACAACCGTCGGAGCAGCCACGGATGAAAATAATAATAATAATAACAGTCAACCGAGCTTGCTAAGTGTATTCGCCATGTCGTCGAGGGGAAATCAATTCCGAGTATTCGATGGGCAGGGACCAGACCACGACTCGGACCAATTCATTCAGTCGTTCTCCGTGAGAAGGAAAAATCTGTTTTTTCTTCACGCTACTTGTGTATTCACCGCACCGTGAGGCTCTCGCGGCTTAACCGCTTCAACTTGCTTCTCTTCCGCCATCTGTCGTGAATGCCGCGCATTCTGGGGGCAACGAGGCGCTGCTGGCGATTCGAGTTTTTGTAATGGTTGCGCTCTAGAATCGAGTCGAGTTCGCCTATGATTTTACGGCGTACCGCGGTACATTTCCTAGAGGAGGGTTGCCTGCTCAGGTAAGCGCTCGCGGAGCGGCATCACTCACAATGAGAGATCTCGACTAATGCCGAATGATCAATTTGAGCTCAGAACGCCACGCGTTTACAGAGCTCTACAGAACTGAAAGCCCTGTCGACCGCCAAACACGCTCATCCTGCACAGGAGTACCTACATACTTCCGAATGCATGACTGGACCGAATAGCCAGAACATGAATTCAAGCTTGAGTGAAAACGTCAATGCGGTTTGATCGTTCGCGGTCAGACACGCTCAGCTGCAACGTGCTCGGGCTACATTATCCACGTGCCGCCGACGGACAGAAAGTACGTACGACACCAATCATGAAGTTGAGGGGGCGCCCAGAAGACGGGTGCAGGCCATATGTACACACACGAACCGTCAGCGACGCGTGGCGCGCGACGACACAACGACATGGCCGTTGGACATGGAGCCTGTCAGGCAAACGGGCAGGCAGGCAACAATCCATTCGACCGTCGGTCCGTCAGCCGAACAGACAGACGGCAGATGGTGCTCGGAGCCCCCGGCTAGGACGACTGGAGGAGATCAACACAACGACTGCGATGAAAGGGTGGTGTGCGCAGTGGCCCCCGTGCACATCTCGACGACGACGACGCACAGCCGCGGCAAAAGTTAGCGCCAGACGTTTTTATGAGCAGGTTCCCCCTGACTGAGCGGTTTTTAGACTTCTCGACTGCAAAGAGAAACTCTCGATCGAAGCCGGGTTCGTGTAATGAAATGCCGCGTCATCGTACGACTGGGAAACGAGCCGAGTCCCGTCAGAGATACACCGGCTCGGCACTGACTCTGGGACGACCTCTTCCGGCGCACTCGTTCCGTAGCCGAGTGGAAATATCGCTCCGATTGACATTTTCCGTCTCGGTACGATAGCAGTCGAGAAACTCGGGATCTGGTTACCACCGCGCGAGAATCATTGAGGAGAGGGAATTGAGTTCTCAACCCGTTTTTATTTTATATTATCCGGATAAATTATTTAAATGCTTTTTTCCCATAGTTGAACTATGACTTAGCGTTTGACATCAATCGCTGCTCCGTATGCGTATCCACACCATCTTTGGTAATATATTAGCGTATATTTACAATACATTACATATCGGTTCGCTTTTCGCTATTTCAGCTAGCTCAAGCGACCGAAACATGTTCTCTTCCGTATCTCATGACTAGAGTGTTTCACGGTTTGAGCTGTTGGCGGCAGAAGACACTCCGACTCCGCGCGAGCGGGTTTCGGGACGAGTGGAACAGAATAAAATGTAAATTAAACCCCCAACAGTTGAGATTGACAACATTTGAAAAATCCACTACCAGGAACAAGGAGAATACTAAACGTACGACTCGGTCTTGCTCGAGTACATCTGGAACGTATCCCAGAGTTCTTGACTGACGAGATCGCAGGCCCCAATGGCCTCCATGTCGAGAGGACTGCAGACGGCGGCGATTTTCCGCAAGGCCGCCAGGCAGGCAACGAGGACCGAGTCGGCGTTGTTGCGTTCCTTGGGCTCCTTGCAGAGCGCGACGAGCCGATGCACTCCCTGCATTTGTATGACGCGTTCTGCGACCATCGGTGAGTTGCACAGACGCGCGAGAGCGATGGCCGACTTTTGTTGGATCCGCTCGCAAATATCGATCTCGACCTGTTTCTGCAGAGCGTTCGGCCGGAGCTGCAGCAACGACAGGAGCACGGTGAGACCTCCGCATTCGACAACGTCCCGATGGCAGGCTTTCTCCGAAGCGACATTCGCCAGGACGGTGGCGATCTGATCCTTGACAAACACACTCTGGGCGATAGACTTGTGCCTGCACGCCATGACGAGGTTCCGGGTAGTTCCGTACTTATGGAGATACGCTACCGCGACCGGGTCCAGGAACGAGAGGTTGGCGATGGCAGCCGTCGCCAGGAGGAACTCCTCGCCGTTCGCGGCTCGGTTCATGATTTCACTCAGCGATTTGATGAGCTGATCCATGGATTCTTTCATGCCCCGAATGACGGGCGTTTCGGTCCAAGGCGCCGTAATCTGGGTGAGGAGACCCACAGCCTCGGTTTTCTCCTGCTCCGTCGAGTTTCTATCTTGTAGAATGTCGCGGATCACGAGAACACCGGCGCATTGATCGAACGCTCGAGTGGCCGCGGTTTGCGAACAGAGCAGAGTGAGGGCCCGCAAGGCCGTGGGCCAGACGGCGCGGAGTTCGCGAATTTCGCAAATCGCGAGAAGAGCTTCGACTCCGTTAACTCTGCTAATGAGATCGCACATCGAAGCCGACTCCTGCGCGAGAGTACATAGAGCCGCAGCAGCTCTCCGGGAACATCCGAGAGCGGCTCGTTTATGGCGTTTGTTGTCCTCGATGACGGCGACGATTTTGGCGATTTCTTTCAGGAACAGCGAGTTGGCCAACGTTTGTAACGTGTTCTTCACGTCGGCCATCAGAGATTGTACTCCTTCAAAGTCGGCGAGGGTCTGAGGTTTACTGTTCGGTCGAGATCCGACGTCACGAAGCCTCTGGAGGGTCTCGTACATGTGGCGTTCCACGGAACGCGAGTACGGCGATGACTTCTCGATGATGCTGCGGTACTCCTGGAGGAAATCGTTCACTTCAGTGTTGAGTCCGGGAACCTCCCAGCAGAACTTCGCCCATTGACCCTGCTCGAGGCGGCGGGTCACGTGTCCGACCGTGGCTTGAACCTCGCCCAGACGTTGCTGTAGGCTCGATATCGCAGCTTGCGCATCTCCGACGCTCAGGATTGCGGCGAGCACCGGATCCTTGGTGAGGCTCTTGCTCTGCAGTGCGCTGAGGCACTCGGGCTCAACCTGGGTCCTGGTGTGAGTCAGCCATTTCTTCACTGAAGGCGCCGCGTTGAGGTCGCTCTGCTCGACAATCCACTGGAGATAGTGCGAAAGCGGATGGGACTCGTCCAGCTGAACGTTGGCTGGGTACGGATGGTCGAAGGTCGTCGCGTAAATGTGGCTGCTCTCTGAACTCTCGTCGAAGTTCAATCGTTTCGTCACCTGGCGAATGCTCGGCCGTTGGCGGATCGGAATTTTGGGCGTTTCGAGATGAATCGGCGTAACTGGATCGTAGATGTGACTTTCACCGGACGACCTCAAGGGGGTCACGTTTTGTGGGGAGTTCAGTTCGTTGCGTTTGAAATGGAACGTCTCACGGAAATTCACTGTGGCCGAGAGCTCCGCGGCGGCTTCGATGTCCTCGCGAGCGCTCACCGAGAATATATCCTCGGCCGATGCGAAGCGGACCATTTTCTTCTTGCTTTCATCGCTTCGTCGAAGTCGAAGAGAACACCTCCGAATGAGAGATTTGGCGTTGCGTTTCGGTGTGCTGGTCACGGGGCTTTTCTTCGGCTCCACGGCTGGCGTTTTGTGCTTGAGGATGGGGCTGGGCAGCTTCTCCGGCTTGGGGCAAGCAGCTGCCGTGGCAACAAACTCGTTCACTGTGTTTGTAGGGACTTGTTTGAAGAGCGTTTTGCGGCAGACTTGCTCAATCGATTGCACCAACCAATCGGTCTCCCCCGACGAGCAGGAGAAGGAAGACTGACGACCGTCCTCGTTCTCCGACGTGGTAGTCGATCCTGTCGAGGACTTGCGGCTGAAGCGTGTCGTCGCTGCCGAAGGATTCGCTGGTTTCTGGTAATCGCTCTCGAACGAACTGTTGACACTGTTCTTGCCGTTGCGAGACTGGAGGGGAAAAAAAAATTTTTTTAGTTTTTCGTTTCAGGCCGAAGTGAATTCTGTCGCTCGAGACGTGGCTCGTGGCGTGGGGCTGAACAACGTCGCCTAAAGCTACGTACACTGGTATCGAAGCGCGGACGCTTGGCTTGATGGAGATCGCACCACTTATGCATTCACGAAGGTTCACACGAGGTCATGTCGCGTTCACACACATAGGGCAAATCCATACAAAGCCGGTGGAATGTAGCTTAACAGCTGCTCCGACGTCCTCCGCTCCGACGGGGCATTCAGAGTAAAGAATGGAAGGCCAGAAAGCCTCGTCGTCTGAGGCAGCGACTAGATGATGTGAGACTCAGACTCGTTGGGAGTGCGATCTCCAACGGTCGCTGAGTTCATTCCCTCTCCTAGTCGGGTCTGGGCCTCAAGCAAAACGAGCGGGCCAGCGGGAGAGAGAGCGAGAGAGAAAACTACCCATCGATGGATAAACCCGGGGGGGGGAGAGAGAGAAGAGCTCTGGGAGGAAAGACAGACCGACACGGGAACTGGACTAGAACTCGGCGAGGCATTTAATGGGGACCGACTATACCGCCAGAGGGCACTATGGACGAGCATTGCAATTTGCGCGCTATTTTCACCGGACACTCGGAGCTGTTGGTGAAAGAAATGACTTATTCTGCGATTTCCTAATAATTATTCATAGGCTTCGCTCGGATTCACGGGACAGATGTTCTCAAGACATCTGGCCGAATCTTCTGCGAGCAACCGAAAAACGGAACTCCTTAACGGAAGAAGTTCCGGATCCGGTTCTCAGGTTCGCCCATCGCGCTATGCTCGTGGTCGCAGAAATCCGCCCGAGCCCATAAGGCTCAGCGTGGAGAGACACAATTCACTCGAATAACGATCAATTATTCAATTAGGCCACGGGCCGATCGATGGAATATTCCTACGAAAGCGGTTTCCAAAGACGGTGCACCTACCAATTTGTTGGTCAACGTGTTGGCGCCGAGCGTGCCGTAGACGTGATCAAAATGAACCATTTTGACACTGTTCGGAGTTTTTTCGCGAAACAATCACTCTGGGGCTGAAACCAGAGTTCGACGGAACGTAACTTAATCCAAGAACACTGTCGGCGAAGGGACACTGAGGTGCCGCTTTTTCAGGCTTGTTGCAGTAGGTTCATGTGTCGCTTGCGTTCACTGGAACAGAAGTGGTAGTTCGAGATCGGAGCGGGCGCTTAAGTAGTCTGGGCCCAGAGGCCCCATGGAGAGGGTCGGTCGCGGCACTTCTCCAACTTCGCCAGCCAGAGTCGGAGCCAGAACCGAAGCCAGAGCACCAGATGCTACGGACGGCGCGTGCCGGCAAGGGCATAACACCTGGCGACTAACCTAAACCTTAGCCGTTCTCCGAGCCGTTCAGACGCGTTCTACGCTAGCGCAGATGCCGCTCAGCTCAGAAAGAGTGCGGCGGAAACGTCGTGCCATTTAAACGTCGCGTGCCGACTCGACTCGGAATATCCGAATCACGATCGTTCGGGACAAGTTCACGATTCTAGAACATGATCCGAGTCAGAGAGCGCGACGCGGAAAGCGAGCCCGGAAAGCTTGGAAAGAATCGACGTTTGGTGCGGCTCGGGGCGTAGCGATGTTACCCCGATGGGGGAGTTCCGAGTCGAATTTCCGTGAGATACGGGAATTAGAATATATTCCAGAAATCGAGAAGGGTCAGAGGTACTTGCTCACTGAGCTCGGCTCCTGGATCGGTCCAACGCTCGTGGGCTCGAGTCTTCGACCTTTCTTCGGCTTGTCTACGGCCCTTCTCCGTACACTATTCGAAAACAGACCGGCGCGTGCCTCGGACCTCTTCTAGTTTCCGAATGACGCAGCTGATGATTTCGTCCGAGGCTAGGATGAAGTCACCTCGGACGGTGACTTCAAGAAAAATCGTCGCAGGTACGAGAACATATTTCGGAACTGTCTGAGAAGGTTCAGATTTTTCTTGTGAATTTGTTCGAGTCGCTGACCAGGACTGATCGCAGATGCTCTCCACAAGTATCTCAGAATACGAGGGGTACGGGCGGACAGAATCGTCTGTGCAGACTCGATACATTCTTTCAGAAGACCTCCAGCCTTGTCGAGACACGTCAGTGCAAGTTGACGTGTTCTCAGTGCTGAAAATTGCATCGTCAATACATGCCTTGCAGTTCCCGAGCTCGCAGCTAGAGGGCGCTTGGAGCTTGCAAACGGAGCTCGAGAGCAGAATTTCATCATTCGGGGTATGGACGAACATCGGTGGGCTCTGTTCCTCGCCAGCGAGTGCCAGGACTCCCGCGCTTCCGGCAAGCTTTCAGGAGAAAATTCGACTGAGTGAGGCCCCCCGATCTCAATGAGGTGATCGTAGCACTACGATCCCCGATCATCGGTGGGTTTCACACAGTTTTGGAGAATCGCTTCGAAACCCAAAGCAAATGCCTTCGTCGGCTGTGAAAATGTCCGAAACGTCCTATGAATATCCCGAGAGCTGCCGGAGATCGATTTCGCTGCCATTTCCCGTCGACCGAATTTACGTCGACATTTCTTCGCACTGAATCGTTCCAATCAGTATCTGGAGCCGCACTCCCTGAAGCTCAGAATAGAACATGATCAGCAGAGATTTCATCGAGCCGATATGTCATCGATTGAACACAGCGAAATTGCCGACGATCGTTCCTGGCGCGAGCCCCCCACTCCGAGAAGGCAAGATCGGACAAGAATGAACCCGTCTCTACAGCTTTTGATTGGACCTCGGCAAAAATTCATGGGAACTCTCGAGACAGCCTGTCACGTTCGTAGTCACGCACGAGAAACCTCTGTTCAGCGCCCAGATCTTCCGCATGGAGACGGCGAGCTCCGAACTGAATCATCGTCCCACGAGAAGTTTTCAACTCGGAAAGATAAAAGATACGGAAAACAGATAACGCGCTCAATAAGGCTGGTCATTAGAAGTTCAAATGCGAGTGACGACAATAATTCGCCACTTTGATCAGGCTCCCCTTCGAGTCGCTTCGCTCTGTTTCGACGTCAGGCTTTTCACTCAATTGAACGCAACCTTTGTGCTGGGTCTCGAATCTCAAGATCACTTTCCACTGTTTCGGAGGAAACGGCCTCAAGCAAGCGCTGCAGCCCGTCCGGCAGAGTTTCTCGACCCGAAAGCGCTTGAATGATCTCGCGGACGGCTTGATGTTCAGTGACCTCCAAGTCGGGAGCCGATGGTCAGTCTGTCGATAGATCTATCTGGGGAAGTAAGCGAATCCGTGTCCGACCATGTCTACGAAAGTGTTACGCAAACAGATGTTCCTATAACCCGTCCGCCGCTTTCCCTCCCGGGGGGTCATTGACAACAGCTGTGGTAGCTTGCCTGCCTGCTTGCTGCTTCTGTGGCTCCGATCCGGTTAGGTCGACCGCTCGGTAGTACTGCTGGCAGGAGCAGTACTCCGCGCCCGCGCGTCCGTCCGTCCGTCCGTCGTGGCCAGTGAACCCGTTCGCTCTAAATATAGAAATAGTTATCTTCGTCAAAGACTCACGCTACATCTGCTCGACAAGGCAGATGACAGACGCGTCCAGTTCATCGGATCTTGGGCTACTAAGTTTCTCCAACGTCGTTCGTACGCGGCTCCGGTGGCCTCATTGAAAACTCGGACACGAACGTATTGTCTCCGATGTTTATCGCTCGAATGCGCCTGCAGTACTCGTGCTCGGACATCCCGGGACTCGGGACGTTGACGATCCCGAAAGAGGAATCGTCGGACACAAAACGATTCTCTTCCCGCAAATGGATGGAGAAACCGGTTGCGCATCCTCGGTACTCGGACGCGATCCGGCCTGCGGCTTCTCCGAGCTCAGGGAAAATGGTTCGTTCCACCCGTCAGAGACTTCCACTGAAAGCGGGTTCCGCAGTTCCGAAAAGTTGGTGTTGCCCGTGGGTCTGAATGATTCGTCTCCCGATTCTCGTCGGCCTTCATCTGGCGCGTGGATTCTGTGTGCCAGACCGAAGTTTGATTTAAAACACCGAGGGCAGATGTTCCACGGACCGTTCATCCGCATCCGAGGGGGGCAGTCCAGGATGCGAACGGCGGCTTCAGCCAAACAAGCTGTACCGGGAAAAAGATGTTTTTTCTCACATTGTCGTTAGATGCTCATCTGAACTCATACGGTTCGATGTCGCTCGAAATACATGAGGGAAACTGAGAGTGGGTAATAGAAAAAGGCTTCAGCAGAGCGAATGCTCCGCCGGGCTCTCCAGCCGTCAAGCTCGCCTCCCCGTGAGCGGATGTGTCGAAACAACAGAAGCGTGTCATCGGAATTTTCAGAAAGTCGCAAAAAATACTCGGCTGCGGAAGCTTTCCAGGATATGCAGCGAAAGTATTAATATGATTATCCATGACATTCGAGTCACGAGCTCCGAAAACCCTCGAATCAGCTGATAGCGGACGCTAGGCCTTCATTCCGAGAGTCTTCGCGCAACGCGGCAGTCTGGCCGACTAGCAGACACTCATTCTTCGTTGAGGTCAAACGTCTACTCGAGAGACGACGAAGACGAAGTTCAAGACGACGATGATGGTGTGTATTTGTGTGTGTATGTGTGTGAGTGCTTTCTTGTAGGTGAACTGAGAGGGAAGGAGCGGCTCTAGTAACAGATGCGTGGCGCGTGCGGCCCCATTCAGAACTCGGGAGGAGATCGAGCAAGATTCTCGGCGAGAGAAAGAAAGCACCCCTAAGGCGGATGGATAGGCAATAGGCAGACAGGCAGCCGGGGGGTGGGCTGTCGTTCTGTGTGTCTGCGGTAGTCCGGCCGCGCGGATAGATGCCCAACGTGTCGTCGTGGCCCAACTTGACCGTCCGCTTCTCTTTCGACCGATTAGGCGACATATGGTCGAACGCCGGCCGTCGGCCGAGATCCCGGTGTCGCGGGGGGCAGGAACAACGATCGTCGCTTGACGATTCAAGGAGACGGAAAAAACTGCGGCTTCCGGTCAATGGACTCTCCCGGGGACGATCGCTTCCACTCGAGTGAGGAACAATGACGGGCATTTTTCGCTCCTCAAGAGGATGATCCCTCCGAGAAAAAGTGTATGATCAAATGATCATCTCTCGGCGCGCGCAGACGGAGCCCCGACCTTGCTCCGGAGCCGAAGCGATTTCACAACTCTCTTGTGACTGGAGGTTCTGAGAATTCGAAGTTTCCTACGGAAAATCTCAGAACACTCGAGGAAGTTCGCAGTTACCAAAATTAGCCTCGTCAACACATGATGAGGTTGTTGTGAGGACTCGCTGCTTCCTCGCTATCGATGAAATCATTCACTCCGACCGAGACAAAGGATCCGTCAGAACTTCAGGCCCGTGCCTCATCTTCGGGAAAATTTGACAGGTGGAGCTCAGAACGACTTTGGCAGCTCAGGGCTCTGGCTCCTCCAAATGAGAATCGGTACGACTCCTGTCTCTCAGTCAGCCCCTCCGCCCCGCTCTCATGAGCTCTCTTCGATATTTAACCGATTCTCTTAATTTTTCTTCGATCGGTCGCCCGAATTCATTTCTGGGGCTAGGAGGGCCACGCGTCGCAATCGGGTTTGGCCGGTCCGTCAGACCGATGGCTTCTCGTCTCGGACGCTTAGCGATTTGTTTGGTCCTCAGAAATGGCTCACGGATTGGAACTCTTCGCAAAGTGGCCACGAATGAGATCAGTGGCGAATCCGTTACTAGAAGGCCGTCCGACGGCCCGTTCTTCGCTCGACTAGGCATTGGATTGGCAGCCGGAGAGGAATGGGCCTCAAGTCTCTGTTCCTCCCCCTCAAGACAGCAGCGGCAGCAGCAACAACGAGAGAATATGCCACTGCTGCTGCTGCTGCCGCCGCCGTCGCTTTGAAGAGAAGACATACAGGCCACGCGCCGGCACGTGGACCCTCTCTGTGTAAGATGCAACGACGATAGCTACTACTCGGACAGACGAAAAAGAAAGACAGATCGACGGCTGCTGTTCAAGATCATGGTGCACATCGAAAACA